GTCTCTTGTCATGCTTTCGACAGATAGCGACCTTCTCCTTACTTGGGGGTAGACAAGGTCGACAGTCTGCTTAAGTTTTGTGGTCTCGTTTAACTTGTTTTTAGTTTTAGTCTCGTTAGTAGTCATAGTTGCCTTTGAGTTTTCGTCGTTGGCGTCTGTGGTTGGATATCCGGTGAGTGTGGAGTCAGTTTGTGTTGCAATGGACCTGGTCTCAGTCTGTGTTCCAGTGGTGCACATTTTGGGAGGCGAGGTGTTTTTGGTTACAGCGGATGCGAAGGACATTCCAGGTGTTGGTGTCTGCAAGGACATCTCCACCTGCCTCTTAGCCTCCTTGTAGTCCAAATTGTTCTCTGCTCTCACCTTACTGATCTCATACTCCCTCAGGTAGGAAGGGCACTTCCTGTCTGAGGCAGCATGCTGACCCGAACAGTGGTAGCATTTTTCCTCGGTTTGTGTACAGTCATCTTCCCTGTGTCCGCTTTGAGCACATTTATAGCATTCATGGGTGTTACAGCAGGCCTTACCAGTAGTATGTCCAAACCTTTGGCAGTTGAAGCATCGCATGGGAAATGGAATATAAGTTTTTGTTTGGGCTCTCTCATATCCTACCAATACATGGGTGGGCCTAACAAGTCCATCAAAAGTCAGTACAGCAGTGGTTGATCGTTTTCTTTCTCCGTCTGGGGTCCTCCTATTAAAGACGAAGGCATCGACAACTCCTTGATCTTTCATGTGGTACTTGATTTCGTCATTACTCATTCCCTGGAATTCGTAGCTGTTAACTACAGCCTTACAGGTATTGAGAAATGCTGGGATATACGGTTCCACTATAGTTGAATGAAATGTTTTCAGATTCAAGGCGTCCCTCATTTGCTTTGCGTCTTTAACAGTAACTTGGAGTTCGCCTTTTCTTGTCTTTCGGACTTTCTCCACGTCCCCTATTTGATCCTTAATGGCCTTCTGGATAATGAACCCATTAATTTTGTCAAACGAGGTGGACGTGTCAACAGTCCGTAAGTGGATTACTCTGGCCTTCTCTGTTGAAACTTCAATGTTACGTCTTTGTTGGATGTTTTGGTCGGTGGTCGTTTCATTGTCTTTGTCTGTCAGTGGTCTTGGCAGTCGTGGGTCATTTGATTTGTCTCCCGCCTCAGCTTGTCCCTGCCTGGACGAGTAGAGGGGGGCTTGTTGTTTCCCCTCCCAGAGGGCATGGTTGGGGTGGCTGGGAACCACCCCTTGGGTACAGTTTTAATCGGTTTTTTACATGTACTGTGAAGTTGTTGGTGCACTAAGGTTATAGAAGGCGCTTAGTGCAAAAAAAAAAAAAAACTCTTACTTAAGGGCGACCCCCGCACAGTGGTGTGTTTGCACTATCACAGACGTCAATGCTGGATTGGCCCAGGTTTTCCCCGACCCCCACTGGATACACACAATCCCACTCTGTGAGGTGTGCACCACTGGGGGGGCTCTAGCACGAATACTGAAGTATTAAAAATCAGCATGTGCCTCGGCCAGGGTAGGTAATAGAAAAAATGATGAGAGAGAAAGCCCTCCTACCACGTCAGGAAGGACAACAGTTAGCGCTTCCTCCGCAGTTGTGTGGGTCACTCACACTAACTGTGGGGAGGGAAGGCTAACGTCCTCAGTCCTGTACGTTCGTTAGGTGTCAAAAAATTTTGGAAAAATGAGCCGAGTCACTTTTTATATGTAATTGCTGTTAAACAGCGAGAATCAGTGCATGTGCACAGGATCCGGTAGGATATGGCGTATTGGAACCGTTACGGGTGAATAGCTGTTCCCGTAAGTAGGTGTCTCCCCTCCGACGTCCAGTCAGCCTCTGAGGAGAGCTTAGGTATAGGTATTGGGGATTATTGGCCACTTCGCCTTTAGGCTATTTCGGCTGAAGCTCTTTGTTTGTAGACTCATTTTCTTTGGTCTTCTTCCTTTTCTTGTTTTTTCTTTTAATTTTCAATTTCCATTCTTCTTCTTGGTCTTGTTCTGGAAGATTTTCGTACACGTGTATAAACGGGTTTAATTTTGGCTTCTTCTTTTTCCGTGGTCTTCTTGGGGTCTTGATTTTTATTTGTTGTGGTCTTGTTCGGGTCTTGATTCTTCTTTGCTGCAGTTTTCACAACAAGGAGAGCCTCCTTGTAGCTCAATTTTTCCTTACTTCGCAGCTTAGCCACCCTACACTCCTCCCTCCACTTGGGACACTCCCGGTCGGAGGAGGAGTGAGGGCCACCACAAGCTGCGCACTTCTTGGCGGCCGCCGAGCAGTTGGTGTCCTGGTGCCCGGGTGTCCCGCAACTGGAACACACCTCCTGAGCACGACATTTCCGCGCCAGATGGCCGTACCTCTGGCATTTGTAGCATCTTGTAGGCCTTCTTTCGTACGGTCTTACTGGGATCTTCTCCCATCCCAGCAAGACTGTGCTTGGAAGTTTCTTGTGGCAGCCAACCAGTGCAGTTGTACTGGTGAGCTTCCGTGCTATTGAGAGCTGGTTTCCGATCAGCTCGGCCAGTTCTTCTTTTTCTAGATGTTCAATTTCTGTGTGGGAGATGACTCCCAAAACCAAGTTGTCCTCTAGGCAGGTTTCAACTAGGATCTGTATCCCGTTGATTTCTCTTAGGTTTTCTAGTTGTTGGGCCTCTCCTCATTCCGCGAAGGTGACGATAAGGCAACCGCTGTCTCTGCGGACGACCCTTGTCATCCCCGTGATTCCTGAGGAGTCAAAAAACTTCCTCAGGACGAGGAGGTTCAGTTGCTTGCGCGAAGGGCGCTTGACTGGATACAGTCAATGTGTATGGTAGGGAGGCCGTTCGCCTTCAAACCATCAGTTTGCTAGTTTCAGAAAAAGTGACCTGTTTCCGTTGCTTAGGGTATGTGCCAAAAGTATGATGGTGGTGATTTTTGCGTCGGGGGAGGGTGGGGGGGCGGTCAGGTTGTTGGTCCAGCTAGTGCGGGTGGGGTGGGTCGTGGGTGTAGGGAGTGAGTGGTGTGGAGGTGGTGCTGTGGGAGGTGAGGGTCGGTGGGGAGGGAGTGGTGTTGTGCTGTTGTCGAGTCTGATTTTGCACTTGTTGCTGATGGCAGAGTGTGGGCCTTTACAGTTGCAGCATTTTGTTTCAGTGGCAGTGCAGTTTCGATGGGAGTGGCCTTTATTGGCACCCTTTCAGCAAGTTTGTGTGTTACTGCACCGGTTAGTGTTGTGTCCGAATTTGTAGCAATTATAATATTGGTGAACTTGTATGTAGTGTTTTAACTCAATGTCTCGTGAGGGGATGATGATGTTGCCGATTTTAATGCCGTTTGATTTTAATTTGATGGCGTCTGTGTTGCTGTGGTGATTTTTAGCATGGGAAGAGTTCCCATCCGGGCTGCTGATGACATTTGGTTGGTGTTGTGTGAGTTGAGTTCCTTCAGTAGGTTAGGGTTGTCAAGGATAGGAGGGATGACTTTCCTGCATATGAGGGAGCATTTTGCACGGTACTCAGTTAAGCTGAGGACCGTTAAGCCATTATCTTTCAATTTTTTGCTCACTGCTGGGGAGTGGAACTGGTCGGCGTCTTCGTCAGTCTGTACAAATATTTTGATGATATCATCATTGATGAAGGAACGGATTTGAAAGATCAAGGTCAGCTGGAAAATGAGTGAGGCGAGGTCTGAGCATAGTTGGATGGTGCGGTCTACTCTAATTTTTATTGAGGGCATGTTTACTGTGTTAATTTTGGGAGATTTATGGAGATCTCCCCTAACAATGTCCCTGATTTCCTGCGCCCCTCACGTAGGGGAGACCCTGCACTCTCACAGAGGTCCCCAGGTGAATCGGCAGGCTGTGCTGACCCTCCACCCTTCACACTAACACGCACTAGCGAGGTGTGGGGACAGAGGGCGCTTCCAGACGAATACTCCCCTGTACGTCAACTGACAGGGGAATAGGTCCTTTCACGGCACGGAAGAGAAGAGTTAGAGTGGTAGAAAAAGGTCTGAAAACTCACTGATGACTCTCTTCACACGAAGCCCCTCAGCAGCATTCGGGGTTCCTAAGGGAGGTCCGATACTGTAGGAGAGGCCCAATGTGTCGATCGAATCAACAGATTTGTCAGATGTAGAGAATTGAAGTCAGGTGCGTGTGTTTTCCAGGGTAAGTGGGAAGGTGGGAGAGGTCCAAGGACTAGCCAATCAGCTGCGTCTGTTCGTTCTCCGTCGCTCTGTGTGTGTGCTAACTGTGGTGTGTCCTGACTGACTGACTGACTGGGTGGTGGTTTTTTTGTATTGGGGATTACTGACCACTTCGCCGTTAGGCTATTTCGGCCGAAGCTGATTGATTGTAGACCCATTTTCCTTGGACTTCTTCCTTTTCTTGTTTCTTCTTTTACTTTTCAATTTCCATTCTTCTTCTTCGTCTTGTTCTGGAATATTCTCGTACACTTCTATAAACGGCGTTAATGATAGTGTTATAAAATCGGGTTTAATTTTGTCTTCTTTTTCCGTGCTCTTCTTGGGGTCTTGATTTTTATTTGTTGTGGTCTTGTTCTGGTCTTGATTGGTCTTTTCTTCAGATTTCACTGCAAGGAGAGCCTCCTTGTAGCTTAGTCTTTCTTTGCTTCGCAGCTTGGCCACCCTACACTCCTCCCTCCACTTGGGACACTCCCGGTCGGAGGAGGAGTGAGGGCCACCACAAGCTGCGCACTTCTTGGCGGCCGCCGAGCATTTGGTGCCCGGGTGTCCCGCAGCTGGAACACACCTCCCGAGCAGAACACTTCCTCGCCAGATGGCCGCACCTCTGGCATTTGTAGCATCTTGTAGGCCTTCGCTGATACAGTCTTACTGGGATCTTCTCCCATCCCAGCAAAACGGTGCTGGGTAGTTTCTTTGGGTAGCCAACCAGTGCAGCTCTACTGGTCAGCTTCCGAACTATTGAGAGCTGGTCTCCGATCAGCTCGGCCAGTTCTTCTTTTTCTAAATGTTCAATTTCTGTGTGGGAGATGACTCCCAAAACCAAGTTGTCTTCTATGCAGGCTTCAACTTGGATCTGGATCCCGTTGATTTCTCTTAGGTTTTCTAGTTGCTGGGCCTCTACCCATTCCGCGAAGGTGACGATAAGGTCACCGCTGTCTCTGTGGACGACCCCCGTGATTCCTGAGGAGTCAAAAAACTTCCTCAGGACAAGGAGGTTCAGTTGCTTGCGCGAAGGGCGCTTGACTGGATACAGTCTAACGACCTTCGCCTGGTTGCAGGTGAACATTGTCTGGTTCACGTAGTACCTCGGGAGCAGAGAGAACCTACCTCGCCGAGGTTCAGTTCTCAAGTCTGGTGGTGGTTGAAATTGAAGTCTGAAATTTAATAGGAGTATCATTTAATTTTAATACTGGATTATTAACGTTACATTTCTTAGTGAAGACTACTCCTACTGTCTTCTCAACTGAAAACCTAAATCCCCATTGTATTGCCCACTGTTCCGCGGCTTTTAGGCTGGCCTGCACCCTTTGTGCAGATAGCCTCTCAACTCGAGAGGAGCGCCAGATTGCGTAATCGTCAGCAAACAAGGAGAATTTGAGTTCACTTAAACTGAGTGCTGGTGATAGGAAATCATTAATCATTATAAGAAATAATATTGGGCCCAAAACACTGCCTTGTGGAACTCTGTTTTCTATGACAAATGTCTGACTTTACGTTACCTTTTAATTTGACAGAAAAAGTTCTGTCTTGCAAAAAATTTCTAATGAAAATTGGCAAATTACCTCTCAGACCCAAGGCGTGGAGCTTCATCATGAGGCCAGTCTGCCATGTCATGTCGAAAGCTTTTTCTATGTCTAGGAATACTGCAATTAGTGTTTCTTTACTGCAAAGAGCTTTTGAGATGTCAGTTTCAAGACTTATTAAATGATCTAGTGTGCTTCTACCTTGGCGGAAACCACACTGTCGATCACTCAATAAGTTGTTACTTTCCAAAAAATACATCAGCCTACGCTTTATCATACGTTCCATGACCTTACACAGACAGTTTGTGAGCGAAATCGGACGGAATGAGTTGGTGTTGTTCGGGCATTTGTCCCTCTTTGGGATCGGTACGACATGGGCAAAGTGCCATGAGTTTGGAAACGTTCTGGACGTCCAGATCTCATTGAACACTTCTGGCAATTTGTCCAGGTTTCCCTGGTCAAGGTGCTTAATCATCTTGTATCGTATACCGTCAGGTCCAGGAGTAGAGCTGTTGCCCTTATTTAAAGCAAAGGAAAGTTCCTCTGGGGAAAATGCTCGGTTGTAGTCCTGTTCGTCCCCGTTCTCGAAGTCGAGATGCATGAGCTTGGCACAATCACGGAACACGCCGAAGCGTGTATCATGATTGGTGGAGCTACTGGCATCTGCGAACTTCTTGCCTAAGGCGTTGGCAATGGCCTGGGGTTCGTCGAGAAGCCGCCCTCCACTACTCACCTGTGGGATAAAAGTCCTTCCTCCTTATGATCTGACCCGGTTTATAGCCGACCATACCTCAGAGGAAGGGGTATCCTTGTTAATAGTGGAGACGAATGCCCGCCAAGACTCTCTCTTGCACTCCCCGAGAACCCTCCTAGCCTTGGCTCTAGCTTTTTTATATTCAATTAAGTTTTCAAGAGATGGAATTCTGTTGAATAAACGGCATCGCCTATTTCGCTCACAGACCACTCGTCGGCAGTCTGGTGTCCACCATGGAACTCCAGGCCTGTGGGTTTTTGCAGAAGTCTTAGGAATTGTTAAATCTCCTGCGTGTATTATAGCTTGTTCTATGTGTGACATTTTGGTGTTGATATCTTCTCCAATGGTGTCTATACGAACGGCTCCTGAGTATGCCCCCCAGTCTGCTTTCCGGTTGTAGCGCACCTAGGGAGTAGCCGTTGGGGCGCCACACTCATAAGAAATGCAGATCAGAAAATGGTCGCTACCCAGAGAGTCGTCGTATGTAGAAAATTTACAGTCTAATAGCAAGGAAGCATCAACTATAGAGAGATCTATAGCTGAGTCTGAGCCAAATCGTTCGTCCACTCGAGTCACACTACCGTCATTCAGAAGAGACAAGTTGGACTTGAGTATAGCTGCAGCCACCTGCTCTCCCCTCCCGTCACTCCGGACACTGCCCCACCGCAAATGGCGAGCATTGAGGTCTCCGAGGATCATTTTTTTTCCTGGTAGTTAGTTAAATAGCTCCTCAAGCTCACCATCGTCAATGAGCCCGCCCGGAGGACAGTATAGTGAGCAGACGGCAACATAGCCAGACCGAAACTTGACTCTGCACGCCACAGCCTGCAAGTTCACGCTCAGGTTGACTCTTTGTTGAGCGAATTCACTCCTAATATATAGGGCTACCCCTCCCCCCTTAGATTGTGTCCCCTGTAGGACGTGTAGTTGTCAAATACAGGTGGGTCGTCCTGACCCGCAGGTAGCGTCTCTTGTAGGCAAAAAACGTCTGGCCGGAATAATGACTTCAGTAAATGAAATTGAGCATTTTTATTCCTAGCACCTCTGCAATTCCACTGGATGATATTGAATTTTAAGTCTGAGAGTTGATATGGTCAGCGTTTTGGGTTTTGTTTTTCTTTGCTCTTGTTTCTGGGGGGGAATTGCTTGCCGGGGTATGTTCCCTCGCATCACATGATCAGTCTCCCGGCTCCAAAAAGCCAGTTCTCTGCTCGGCAGGGGCTCCCTGCCCCCGGTGTGTCTCAACAATGCGAAACAAAGGTTGAGGTGAGGAGTCTCTTGTCATGCTTTCGACAGATAGAGACCTCCTCCTTACTTGGGGGTAGACACGGTCGTGAGTCTGCTTAGGTTTTGTGGTCACGTTTAACTTGTTTTTAGTTTTAGTCTCGTTAGTGATCATAGTTGTCTTTGAGTTTTCGTCGTTGGCGTCTGTGGTTGGATATCCGGTGAGTGTGGAGTCAGTTTGTGTTGCAATGGACCTGGTCTCAGTCTGTGTTCCAGTGGTGCACATTTTGGGAGGTGAGGTGTTTTTGGTTACAGCGGATGCGAAGGACATTCCAGGTGTTGGTGTCTGCAAGGACATCTCCACCTCCCTCTTAGCCTCCCTGTAGTCCAAATTAGTCTCTGCTCTCACCCTACTGATCTCATACTCCCTCAGGTAGGAAGGGCACTTCCTATCTGAGGCAGCATGCTGACCCGAACAGTGGTAGCATTTTTCCTCAGTTTGTGTGCAGTCATCTTCCCTGTGTCCGCTTTGAGCACATTTATAGCATACCTGGGTGTTACGGCAGGCCTTACCAGTGTGTCCAAACCTTTGGCAGGTGAAGCATCGCATGGGAAATGGAATGTATGTTTTTGTTTGGACTCTCTCAAATCCTACCAATACATGGGTGGGCCTAACAAGTCCATCAAAAGTCAGTACAGCAGTGGTTGATCGTTTTCTTTCTCCCTCTACGGTTCTCCTATTAAAGACGAAGGCATCGACGACTCCTTGATCTTGCATGTGGTACTTGATTTCGTCATTACTCATTCCCTGGAATTTGTAGCTGTTAACTACAGCCTTACAGGTATTGAGAAATGCTGGGATATACGGTTCCACTATAGTTGAATGAAAGGTTTTCAGATTCAAGGCGTCCCTCATTTGCTTTGCGTCTTTAACAGTAACTTGGAGTTCGCCATTTCTTGTCTTTCGGACTTTCTCCACGTCCCCTATTTGATCTTTAATGGCCTTCTGGATAATGAACCCATTAATTTTGTCAAACAAGGTGGACGTGTCAACAGTCCGAAAGTGGATTACTCTGGCCTTCTCTGTTGATACTTCAATGGTACGTCTTTGTAGAATGTTTTGGTCGGTGGTCGATTCATTGTCTTTATCTGTCAGTGGTCTTGGCAGTCTTAGGTCGTTTTGATTGGTCTCCCGCCTCTGCTTGTCCCTGCCTGGACGAGTAGAGGGGGCTTGTTGTTTCCCCTCCCAGAGGGCATGGTTGGGGTGGCTGGGAACCACCCCTTAGGTACAGTTTTACTTGGTGCACTAAGGTTATTGAAGGCCCTTAGTGCAGAAAAAAAAACTCTTTCCTAAGGGCGACCCCCGCACAGTGGTGTGTCTGCACTATCACGGACGTCACTGCTGGATTGGCCAGGTTTTCCCCGACCCCCACTGGATACAAACAATCCTACTCTGTGAGGTGTGCACCACTGGGGGGGCTTTAGCACAAATACTGAAGTATTAAAAATCAGCAGGTGCCTCGGCCAGGGTAAGTAATAGAAAAATAATGTGGAGAGAGAATGCCCTCCTACCACGTCAGGAAGGACAACAGTTAGCGCTTCCTCCGCAGTTGTGTGGGTCATTCACACTAACTGTTGGGAGGGAAGGCTAACGTCGTCAGTCCTGTACGTTCGTGAGGTGTCAAAAATTTTGATAAATGAGCTATGTCACTTTTATATATATATATATATATATATAATTGCTGTTTAAGAGCGAGAATCAGTGCATGTGCACAGTGATCCGGGGAGATGTGGCGTATTGGAACGGTGGAATATACAACGGTCAACCGTTACGGGTCAATAGCTGTTCCCGTTGGTTGGTCTATCTCGGGTGGGCAATTATTTTGACTGGCAGGCCACTTCATGAATTTTGGTACAAGCCGCGGGCCAGAGACTTAATATAGATGCAAATGCATTGTATTTGCACAAAATAAAGCCCTGTATTTATATATATAGGTTGTAAGTAATATATTAAGTAGCATACATAGATATTTTGGAGAAATAAATACGTCACTTCTTAGCTTGTATCTTTTATTATTGATAATAATGCTAATACAAATACCAATGTTAATACTACTTATAATAATATAGAGATATGGTGCAGTAAATTTGGTATTTTAAGTGCATTAACATAACTCGTAACAGAAGAGAGTCGATATTATAAGTGGAAATAATTAGTCTCTTGAGACGTTGTCTTTACTCTTCCCTAGGGAGGTGGTAGTAGGGTTGAGTTGGTCAGGTCTGATCACAGCTATCTTGCTTCGTCTGGCTTCCCTAGGGAGGTGGTGGTTGGGTGGAGTCATGTCAAATTGTAGCTGTTCCTGATCGGCTGATCTATGATGTCACTGCTGCAGACTGCTTGAAAAATGTATTTAATACAGTTTAATATTTATTGTTGCTTCTTCATAAATTAACAATAATATAATTAAGTTTTAATGGTTGAAAATAAGGAAAAAGCAAGTCAAAGCACCAATATGTAATTTATTAAAATATTTTAAAGTATGTTCATATGTCATATTATATTCTGAAATTGTTTAGTATCTTGATAAGAATATTTAACTTACTCAGTGGGACGAATGACAGCGCTGATGATTGCTGACCAGACCATTGAAGTCAGGTGTTGCCTCCGTTGTTGCAATGAAAAGTACTTGTTCAAGGTGATCATCAGTCATTGCAGATCTAAGTTTTGATTTATTCAGCTTCATTATCGAAAATGTCTGCTCACATATGTATGTAGATCCAAACAGCACAAGCATTCTTTGAGCATGAGCCTTTAGTTTTGGAAATGCACAGTCATTAAGAGAGGCATAGAATTTGGGAAGAGTCACTGTTTTCATCTGCTCAGAAAGCAAAGGATCACATTGCATGTCAATAAGCTCGAGTTGTAGGTCAACTGGGGCTTTGTCAACGTCAAATGAGAAGGGAGAAGACACCAAAAACAGGTCATTTTCAATTAATTTGAAATCATGGAATCTGCGTGAAAATTCGGCATGCAAGTCAAGTAGCTGCAATGAGTACTTCTGTACATTTTGATCACAAACTTCAATCTGTTGTAAGGTTGCAAAGTGAGCAAATTGTTTGTTCGTAATCTGACGAGACAAAAGAAGTAATTTCTTCATGAAAGCTTTGACACTGCTGTACAAATCATGTGCAAAAGCCCCCTTCCCTTGTAGCTTTGAATTCAGGTCATTCATATGACCCATGATATCAACAGCAAATGCAAAATCAGAGAGCCATTTCTCATCATTCAACTGTGGGAAATCTATAGCATTCTGTTTCATGTCCAAAAATAAGCCAATCTCTTCTTTCAATTCCCAAACTCTTTTCAGGATTTTTCCCAAACTAAGCCACCTCACATTTGTGTGATACAGAACATCCGTATGATCAGATTCCAAGTCTTCAAGCAGGGTTATAAACTGCCTGTGATTTAATCCTCTTGCTCGAATGTAATTAACCACTTTCACAACTGTGTCAACGACATGGCTTAAATTTAAAACACTCTTACAAAGGACTTCTTGATGAATAATGCAGTGCAAAAAGACAATATTTTGTTCTGCATTTGTTTCTCTGACTTGATCTTGAATTCTTTTTAGCAATCCAACATTTTTACCTGTCATATTTGGCCCTCCATCGGTGGTCACATTTACCAGTTTGTTCCATTCTACTCCTAATTTCAAAAGACAATTATTTACTGCCTCCAATAAATCTTCTCCAGTTGTTGTTCCTTTCTGTGACTGCATTGATACCATTTCTTCTGTGATCTCAAAATATTTGGTGATGCCTCGAATGAAAATTAACAACTGTGCTGTGTCTCTGACATCACAACTTTCATCAAGTGCCAGTGAATAGTATTCAAAAGTCCTTACCGTACTTTCTCTTTAAACTGCAGATACATGTTCTCAGCAATGTTCTCAACACGTCTTACAATTGTTCGCCTTGACAAACATACATTCTCAAACTGGTTTTTCTTGTCTGGACATAAAATAGAGGCAGAATCAATCATACATTCCTTTATAAATTCTCCTTCAGAGAATGGCTTGCTGTTTTTGGCAATCTTGTGAGCAATCACATAACTCACTTTTGTAATATCATCCTTGGATGCAAATTGTTTTCTGAAAATATTTTTCTGTTGTAATTGAACAACCATCTCGTTAGCTTTCTTCCTCTTTTGTTCATCAGAAAATTTTTCATATTTACTGGAGTGCTTGGTCTCAAAGTGGCACTTTAAGTTGTAATTCTTTAGCATTGCCACACTTTCTCTGCAAATTAAGCACACTGCTTTTTCATCCACGTTGGTAAAAAAATATTTTGAAGTCCATTCCTTGTTGAATGTTCGATACTCTGCTTCCACTTTCCTCTTCTTAGATTCATTCATTTTCACTTTAAAATTATGGGTTGGGGCAACAACACATAAGTACAAATTCAGCAAAACCACACTAATGTCCTCTTAAGTGAGAAGCAGAGAGGAGACTGAGCTTTTCTAGTATTGGTGCTGGACGGTGAGGTCAGCGTGGGAAACAATATTGAGGCGTGGGCATGGCCGTCCTGGTCAAATGGTCAAGAATTATGGGTCTCTCGGTTAAGGGTTCACTGACCTCCATTTGCCTAGTCCCAAATCCTAATCCTTATAGGTAACCATATTTGAAGTATTCACAACAGGGTGGCCAACTCTCACATAATAATGATCCTTTCTAAGATTTAAATTTTTTTTTTTTTTTTTTTTTAATATATATATATCTTTATCCACATGCAGTGGCGGGCCACCGAAATAAACTGGCGGGCCACATTTGGCCCGCGGGCTGTATCTTGCCCACCCCTGGTCTATCTCCTCCGGTGTCCAGTCAGCCTATGAAGAGAGCTTGTACTTGTATTGGGGATTACTGGCCACTTCCCCGTTAGGCTATTTCGGCGGAAGCTGTTTGTTTGTAGAGTCATTTTCTTTGGACTTCTTCCTCTTGTTGTTTTTTCTTTTACTTTTCAATTTCCATTCTTCTTCTTGGTCTTGATCTGGTATATTCTCGTACACGTCTATAAACGGCATTAATGTTAGTGTTATAAAATCGGGTTTTCTTCGGTCTTGTTTAATTTTGGCTTCTTTTTTTTCGGTGGTCTTCTTGGGGTCTTGATTTTTATTTTTTGTGGTCGTGTTCGGGTCTTGATTCGTCTTTTCTTCAGTTTTCACTACAAGGAGAGCCTCCTTGTAGCTCAGTTTTTCCTTACTTCGCAGCTTAGCCACCCTACACTCCTCCCTCCACTTGGGACACTCCCGGTCGGAGGAGGAGTGAGGGCCACCACAAGCTGCGCATTTCTTGGCGGCCGCCGAGCAGTTGGTGTCCTGGTGCCCGGGTGTCCCGCAACTGGAACAGACTTCCCGAGCACGACACTTCCGCGCCAGATGGCCGTACCTCTGGCATTTGTAGCATCTTGTTGGTCTTCTTTCATACGGTCTTACTGGGATCTTCTCCCATCCCAGCAAAACGGTGCTGGGTAGTTTCTTTGGGTAGCCAACCAGTGCAGTTGCAGTGGTCAGCTTCCGTACTATTGAGAGCTGGTCTCCGATCAGCTCGGCCAGTTCTTCTTTTTCTAGATGTTCAATCTCGGTGTGGGAGATGACTCCCAACACCAAGTTGTCCTCTATGCAGGCTTCAACTAGTATCTGGATCCCGTTGATTTCTGTTACGTTGGCTATTTGCTGGGCCTCTCCCCATTCCGCGAAGGTGACGATAAGGCCACCACTGTCTCTGCGGACGACCCTTGTTACCCCCGTGATTCCTGAGGAGTCAAAAAACTTCCTCAGGACAAGGAGGTTTAGTTGCTTGCGCGAAGGGCGTTTGACTGGATACAGTCTTACGACCTTCGCCTGGTTACAGGTGAACATTGTCAGGTTCACGTAGTACCTCGGGAGCAGAAAGATCTTACCTCGCCGAGGTTCAGTTCTCGAGTGAAGAGAGCTGTTCAGTTCAAGTTTAGAATCTCCAAAAGTTGTTGGTAGCGAAAGTCAGAGCGGGGAAGATGATAGAAGAAGGAGCAGGAGGTTAGGAAGGGAATTGTAGTGGGAGAGATAGTGCCGTGGCTTTACACGACTGCGTTTATTTGGTTAGCGCATAGCGCACGTATTGGGTTTTGTCTGTGTTGGGTGTGTGATCCTCGGGTCACCACTCCTCCGGATTTTGTCAGTTCAAGTTTAGAAGCTCCAACAACTTTCCTTGAATACGAATTCGCAACCTTTCGATTTACAACAGGTACCTACTTACTGCTAGGTGAACAGGGACCAAGGGGTCTAGGAAGAGTGTCCAAACAACTTCCGCTTGCCCGGGAATCGAACCCGTGACATCTTGCTTGCGAGGCAAGAGCTGTACCGCTTCTACCACAAGCGCCCCGAAGAGAGCTTAGACTAGTATTGGGGATTGCTGGCCACTTCGCCTTTGGGCTATTTCGGCCGGAGCTGATGTCTTTCTTGCTACAACTAATCTGATGTTCTTGTTTCTTCTTTTCTTGTTATTCTTTTGTTCTTCTTGTTCTTGGTATTTTGGTTACTTCTTTCTTCTTGTTTTATTTGGGATGAATTATGGTATGAGTGAGTGATATGATAGTGAGTTACTGACAGACCAGATGAAATGGCCGGTCAGGTGACTAGTTTCTCTGATTTTTTTTATTTTTTTTTATTTTTTTATTTATTTTTTATTTTTTTGTCTTTTGTAACCCGTGTCTTTTTGTTTGAATATGTGTTGGTGGGTGTCAGTTTTACTGGGTAAATGTGCGTGTTGTATGTAATGGAAAGGTTTGTGATGTGTCTCTCATGTTGTATGTTTAAATTTTTGTTTTATTCATTTTTATTTGCTTTAGGGCATGGTTACATACATATTATAAATATAAAAAGAGTTTATGCGTGTGTCAATTACAGCATGCCGATAAGACGGGTCTCCTTGAGGAAGATTATTACAGTGTCACTTATGGTGACATCATCTTGCAATATGTTGGGTACAGTCAGCACGAAGCCTCGCTTGGCAGCTAGGATCACCAGCTGCCGGCGTTCTGGTTCGTACTGGCTGCACTCCGTCAGAATGTGTCGGATGGAAAGAATTTTGTTGCACGTGGCACAGATAGGTGGAAAGGAGTTGTCAAAATAGGCTTTTAGGTGGGTCAAATAGGTACAGTTCAGCCTTAGTCTGGCGAGAACCACCTCTTCCCTCCTATTCTTTCTGTATGCTGAAAGCCAGTTTCCTATGTTAGTCTTCCAGTTGTTGTGAAGATCTAACCTCGTCCAATCAAGTTGCCACTTCCCTGTTGTATATGTCTTCCCCAAGGAGAGACACGACTGACGCTCCCAGGGTACATTGGTTGTCTCCCTGAGACCCACAGTCGCTTTTGCTAGTTTGTCTGCCTGTTCATTGCCCCAAATGTTGCAATGCCTAGGCACCCATATCAGCACAATATTCTTGGCACACTCATGTAGTTTATTAATAATGTTGCCCTGTATCTCATTGCTGGTAGTATCACCACCTTGAATTGCTTTAAGAGCTGACATGGAATCTGAAATGACAGCAACATCATTGACATGGCTTGTTATTGCAATGTCAATGGCTCTACTTATTGCAAACATCTCTGCAGTGAATATGGTTGTATGCCGCGGCAGGCGGGAGCTCCACTCCCCGTCTCTGCTCCAGATACCGGCTCCAACGTTGTCGTCAGTCTTGGACCCGTCTGTGTACACGTGAGTATAGGCGCTGTATCCTTCCAGAAATTGATAGAAAAGTTGCCTCAGGAGCTCAGGATGAAGGTCATTCTTCCCTCCTGGAAGCCACGATGTTTCCACATGGAAGTTGGGGTTCTCCCATGGCGGACACAACGGTGGAATGTATCTATCAACGTCTTCGAAATGGATACCAGCACCCTTTCACAAGGTTTGGAGGCGGACAACCGAGGACGGGGACCTACGCAGCTGCAGGAAACGGAATTTAGCAACAGCACACCAACCTGGGTGGCCTGTGCCGCGCCTCCTAGCCGCACTCAACCCGTACCTTAGCGTCAACATGTCCCTCCTGATGTGGAGTGGAGGGACATGGGCCTCAACCTCTAGTTTTTCTACACGTGTACACCTGTAAGCACCCAGACATAGACGAAGGCATCGGTTCTGTATTCTGGTTAGCTTTGCGAGTGTGGTGTCGCATGCCGAAGCATACAACTGGCATCCATAATCAAGTTTTGATCTGATCAGGGTCTTATACACCATTAATAAAGATTTCCTAACGGCTCCCCATGTAGTACCTGATAAAACTTTCAGGATGTTTGTGACTTTAAGATCTTTACTTTCAAGTTCGTTAATGTGGTTTTTCCACGTTAATTTCCGGTCAAAATGAACACCGAGAAGTTGTACTGAAGTCTGAAATTTAATAGGAGTATCATTTAATTTTAATACTGGATTATTAATGTTAACGTTTCTTAGTGAAGACTACTCCTACTGTCTTCTCAACTGAAAACCTAAATCCCCATTGTATTGCCCACTGTTCAGCGGCTTTTAGGCCGGCCTGCACCCTTTGTGCAGATAGTCTCTCGACCCGAGCGGAGCGCCAGATTGCGCAATTGTCAGCAAACAAGGAGAATTTGAGGTCACTTTAGCTGGGGGCTGGTGATAGGAAATCATTAATCATTATAAGAAATAATATTGGGCCCAAAACGCTGCCTTGTGGAACTCCATTTTCTAGGACAAATGTGTCTGACTTCACGTTACCTTTTAATTTGACGGAAA